TGCTTCAAAATGCAAAAACTGCCGGAATAACGCCGTCCGGCGAGACCCATGGTCGGAGACACCTACTGGCCAATTCCCCACACCTAGACAAGTCTTTCCATGTTGGTAATTCATCCCTAAGAACTCCCAAGCAAATTGAATTTGGCAAATCGCCCAGTCGCGAAGCTCGTGATTTCGCCAGCGAAAAACCCCAATTCCGACGTCGTCGCTGCACCCATGGAGGCAGACCACGTGGGCTACGTTCGCCCTCACCTGGCGTACCTAGCCCAGTAATAGGTCTCCATCAATTTAACTCCAAGCAACCTGAATTTGATTCTGAAATTCTTGAAGGGGCGAACATAGAATCTGATTTCTATCGATTCAGGCACCGTCCGGCCAAACCAAGGTGGCGAACCACCTAGGTTAGCACCCCACACTCTTGGCAACCCAGCTCTGGAGAGAGGTACAGAAGAGAGGAGAGGAGCGAGAGAGAGAGAGAGAGGGGAGAGGTAGGGAGAGAACGAGTTTTGGGAGGAAATGAGAGAGAGGGCGGGTTAATTTCTGAATTAATTGAATTAATAATATATTAATTAAAACATCTGATTTTTGAAAGATTAATCATATCACCTCATTTTTTAATATGAATTTTGAAAAGTAGGATTTGGGGTAATTTTCCAAAACTAATTCAATACAGGGTCCAAAATACAGTCAAGCCCGACCACAGTTCCAATTCAGGTATATAAGGACCAAGTTGTACTAAAAATTATACTTTCAATGTTATTTTCCATCGATCATTTTCTCTCTTTTCAATTGGAAATTAACAATTTTCAAGAGATCCAACCATTATCGAGAATATTTCTTTCTTTTTTCTTGTGCTTGTGCAACTCTGCAGTTACTTAGTCCAGTCGAGAACAAGGAAAACTCCTTGTAAACGTCCGTTCAACCTTCTAGCAATCTCCCGCTACCGTTGTACAGTTTTCTTAACAGCCTAAAAGACAATACACAGAGCCACAATCCAGAAATTTTATAAGAGCAGTATATTTGATAATAGGTTCATATCCTCGTCAAAAAACAGAATATTCAAGTGAGACATTCGAAATCTTTACACTTGAATATCAATGCACCTAATATCATCAGAAAAATAAAAATAAAATTCATTTTAATAGAAAGAATTAAAGATTGCTTCATTTTTCAAAAGTTGCCTGCAGAAAGGCTAAAAAACAAAATTTAACTAAATGCAAGGTATCTGCATTTCAGAACCACAAGGAATCGGGTAAAATACTTTGATGGCGTTACCATTCACACACATCTAATTCAAGCTCCCTCCCGAGGTTATTGCCCTGTGCTCTGCTTGCTTCAGACTCAACTCACGTATGATCTGCAAGTATTATATAAACCAGCGTGCCAAGCGTACCATGTTAGAATTCAAAAATGTTTTAATACAAAGCACATCTAAATAAAAAATAGCAACAGTAGCCAATAGATATTAAGAACCCTTATTCTACAAGGGAGAAGATGAGAAAAAAGACTATTTGGTAATCTTAAAGAATGTCAATGATATTAATATAGCTGGGGAAGAAGCAAGGAGATACTGCCAAATTTAACACTACTATTTGATATAACGTTATACCTATCAATCATTTGTCGGTAAGTAGTGGGGAGAAAATAGATAATCAAATTAATTCCGCTTATTATAAGCATAAATATATTTCTTTTTTTATGGACAATCTCATTTAAGTATTCGAAATTGCAATACTCATTAAGATTACAATTATACATTTGGTTCATAGACAAGTTTCCGCTTCTTGTGAGACTGTTAACAAGGTTACAATTTAAAGCCTTGCCGATATTATCAAGTTTGAGAACCAGATGAGTGGGTGAAAAGAGAAAGGGGAAACGAGAGACATTAAAAATTAGCATAGACGAGTAAATAAAAGATTAACTCAAAAGGCAAATAAAATTAATCTTTATACATAAGCCGACAAGTAAATCAGCATTTCCAATTTAAGTAACTTGAAACATGTGCAGTGTTTCTGCTCCATGAAAAATTAGGTGACAAACAAAAAGCTGCACAGAATTTAAAGAAACTATATTATCTGGCAGGGCCAAATTATACTGCTTGCTTAATAGGCAATCACACACATAATCACATGCGAATAACACTGTTCCATCATTATCAGAAGAGTAAACATATGTTCCTCTCAATGCTGAAGTAGCAGGGTAAGTACAAAAGTAATCAGAATAGATAATCCAGCTAAGATGACGAAATAGAAAATATGATAATGAATCTAAGCCACTACGGTTGTGCTTCAACAAGTTCAGAGCTCACTACTAGTTCAGCAAACCACTAATAATTCCTGATTTCCTGATGCTAAAAAGAGAACTTATGAAGAAGTTAGAAAAGAGTTTAAGAAAGCAATCAAAAAATAGAACAATTTAGTGAAAATGGAAACTGTAGGATGCTCAAAATCTATCGTCTGTCACTTTTCCTACCAAAGTTTCTCTGAATCTCAATGACTAGTCCTTGTCAACAGCAAATCCTTGACACTACGATAGTGTCTTCCCTATTTCACTCCGATGCTGATGTCAAGCAAGTGTTTTAGATGGAAAGACTGTGTCAGAGAGAAATAGAATAGTAGGGAAACATTGTGCGCAAGAGTGCAATGGAATAGTAGTGGGACCGCGAAATATTGCTTGAACAAAGAAAAGGAGAGAACCCACCATCCCCTGGCAGTTGTTTTTTATCAGTATAAAATAAGCAAGGCTATTGGCTTTAGCGGAGGCAGTGCTCTCCCAGTAATGTCCTACACAATGTCATCATATTGAAGCACGCACCGCAACTCGTCAGGTGGATACAAAATGTGGCAACTGTGAGACAGTGGGAGGAGACTGTGGACCACTCTCTCGTCGGTCCAATGGTCAATCACATTCCATTGAAGCCTAAGTCATGATGGTCCAATGGACTACTTCCATCCCATATCATTCGATGGATCTGATTCTTGGCCGATCAGCCTTAGGTCAAGAACAATGGGGCCCGTGGCCTAATCATTACGAGAAACGACACATCTACTGAAGTGTATCTTTGTGGCATGTTCACTGTGCTTCCACCAGGTTAGATTAGATGTGTAGAGAAACAAACCATTCCTCTTCAGATATTTAGCCTAGTAACAATGAGGACCATATTTTATCTTCAAACACAACTTAGCCTAAAAGTCCTGAGGAAAGGGCAGAAATACCCCCATTAACTAGATGTTGAAGAGATAATGCAACATTTTCCTTGTGGCGAATGCAACCCTACAAGGAAAATTATGCAAATCAAGATAAAACGTCTGGCAATAACTAGTTAACAACTAAGTTTGACTTTTTATGCTAAAATCTCAAGTCTCAGCCAGTAATGAGGAGTGAAGACAAGCATCCATAGCATCTCCACACCTCTTCCTGCTTTGCCCCTTCACTCCCTCTCCCCTCAACAATCATTTGTGAGTACGCTTGTAAGGTTTTTTTCTTAAAAGCACCGACTTGGAAGTATATGAGGTGTATGATTTGGGGAATTTTTAGTAGCGGTTTTTAAAACACTCCAACTCATGCTTGAAAGTTTATTATCATATGTCCCGTATTGAAATTTTCAATTTACAATTTATAAAATAAAATTTTTTAACTCATAAATGATATTTTACTTATAAGTAATTTTTTATATATAAGTTAATTTTCAACCTAAAAAGTGAAATATTTACTTATAATTAAAATTTCAAGTTATAAGTATTTTTTTATTTATAAGTAAAATTTATAGTTATAAGTTAATTTTGTACTTTTAAATAATTTTTTTACATATAAGTAACTTTTATATTTTATAAGAGAAATTTTCTTATTAGTAGTATTTTAACTTTATAAGCAACTTTTAAATAAAAGTTCATTTTTATCTTATAAGTAAATTTTTTAAACATAAAGTAATTTTATGCTTATAAACAAATTTTTTAGTCAATGTATTTTTATTTACAAGTTAGTTTTGAACAATATATGTGGGTTGAAAATAATTATTTTATAGGGCATAAATAAATTAGAAGAGAATTTGAGTAACGGCAAAACCCACCAATTTGGTGGATTGAGAAAGACGGTCAAAATTACACTACACCGATTTTGGATAGTTTTTAAATCATCCGATTTAACCATCCAAAATCGGTGCCCAAAAAAACTAACAAGCATATATTTTTTCCACCACTCATAAATGGTGCCACTCAAAAATGTCAAAACCAATGAAAAAAAAACTCCCAAGCAGGCCCTTAAGGTTGCTTCTATTTAAAGCTAAACCATGTTTTCTTTTATGCAAAGTTTGATTTAATCAATCTATAAAACTTCATCTTAGCCCTTGTTTGATGCCCATTATTTTAACAATCTTTTTGCTACAAGATCATTTTTAACCACACATTCATGCAATAAAATATTGAGACCGTAAATTCAAAATTTTTCCTTACTTTTTAACTACACCTGTAAAATACTATTCAAAACTCCTTTTTTTAAAAAAAAATAACGCCAGCAAACAGGGGCATAATTGATATTACCTTATCCCTACATTACGAAGGAAATACATAACATCATCCAGAGACTACAAACTTCAAGAGAATTTATCCACACAAAAGATTTTTTCAATGCAGCCATGTTTGGACTTTGGCTTCATAAGCAAATGCAACAAGTAAACAATTGGACTAGCTTGTTCCGTTTAAATATGCATCGGTCCTTTGAATACAAAACTTGTTAACAACCCTTGACCAAAATCATACCTAGCAGCTTATAAAAATACCATCTTCGGAATTTAAAGTGTCAATTAACACGTTGGCACAGCATTGCCAATTTAGAGATTAAGCATTTTCCTCACATAGATAGAAGAAACTTCTAAGTAGTATAACTGATGTACATTAAAGTCAGCAAGCGAAAAAGAAATCGAAGACATAGTAGAAAGTCCAGGTTGGGAATATGTACATGGACCACATACGTGGAAATGAAGGTTAGGAGTCTAAATGCATCACCAAGACCCAGCTATGCACAGTTTGCAATCATAAAGAGCCCTAAAACACATTCGAACTGGCTTCTTTGTTCTTATAGCTGCACTTGAACAAGTTATTAAGCTGCAAGAAATTTAAGCTTGAGCAGTTTAATATTTTCTCCATTTTTGATACTCTTTAGCTTAACAAAGCCAAAGAGTTTGACTCTTGAAGTGTCCTTTTTCCTAGATCCCTGACTTCAGATGGGCTAGATAGAGCTAAAGTAATCACAAGATCACAGTGGTTCGTTCCCTAAGTTCATTTTCCATGAAACTCCACCATTTTCCTATAATTATGTCCATGGCGGAAATCTCAAATTCCTTCTTAAGTAAGGTCTCACGCTATAATTCTTTTTTCATCTGAATCACATAAACTCACCATACGCCAAATTATGTTTAATAAATAAGCCCTACACTTCAAAATTTTACATTCAATCTTGAAGCTAATGTACGAGGGAAGAAGACCCTCAATTTACATCAATGAGATCTCATTAACAGAGAATTTTATATAAGGAAAAGAACCTACCAATGATGTCGAAGATCGGAGTGGAGGTGGCTCGACACCGAGGTAGCGAGTGGACATCCCGGCAATCTCCGAAATGGCAGCCTCCCGGACTTCAGGAACCTCGCTGGTCAAGTCCTCATAGGCCGCCACAAATGCCTCTTGCCAGAAACTCGGCAACCTGATTCGCCTGCTATTTGTGTACACGTCCCACATGTGCTTCACCAATTTCTCTCTCTCCTCCATATCCTATTTAAAAACAAATCCATTCAAATAAGATTTCCATTGCACACAGCCAATTAAATGAATTTGTACATCTAATCAAGCCTAGATGTACATGCAAAAGGGTTACAACTTACGAGGACATCGAGGTCGTCTCTGGCTGGGGGCTCAAGGTTGTCGGACAGGCGATTGAGGTTACCAGCAGACCACCGGAGGGTGACGGTTCCGGTGAGCATTGACCAGAATGCCAGCAACAAAATTGCGGCCAATGCCCAAAACTTGTACCGGCCTCGGCCAAAAACGCTCGATGAATCAGAGTAATTATCCTTCTTCGAAATAACTGAAGAAGACGGTACAACTGATGATGAAGTGGGTGTTGATATGGGTAGCGCATCATCATCCTTCATTTTGATTAATAACAGAAAAATTCTACACAATACAGAGGAAACGAAATAAAAAAAATAAACAAATCAATCAAGAATTTCAATTAGATATCGTTGAATTGATGAATTCTTCGAATATCACAAATCGATCTAAGGGGATTCTCCGGATGCATCTCAGGGCATGTCAGAGACGGCAAGGGCAAGAATATTAGCACGTATCGGATTCTGCATTTTTTTTTATTCTTTTTGTTAAATTTCAGATCTTCCTAACGGGTTGAAAAGCTTGGGTGCACTTTACGAGGCCTGGTTGTGAACCCTAATGGCCTATTAAAACATGGGAAATTTTCACAAATGTCATTAAATTTGAAAATACACAAAAAATTTGTATGTGTACTTAATTTGTTCAAAAATGTCACTTTTTTGGCTTGAAATGTCCAAATTATCCTTGGATCACCTTTGTAATAGCAATTAATGGTTGATTGGATTGTCATTAATGGTTTGATTTGATGATTTAATTTTTATTATTTTATTCATTGTATATATGTATATTATATTCAATAACATTTATTTTCTTCCATAAAATAAATAAAAAAAATTCAAATCCTAACATAAACAAACCCTAAGTCCTAAATAGACTTCCATGAACACATTTTCTTCCAAGAACTTCATCTTC